AGGGGCGGCGGCCTCCGCCATGGGAGTGGGAAATGATGATTCTCATTCAAGAAGTGAGGTGCAGGCTCAGGGTCATAGAACAATTGAGGCTGCTGATAGAGTTGCGTTGAGTGATCATCAGTTTGTTGATGAGGATCTGATCTTTGACATGCCTAACGTTCTGGTGAACATGGCTGAGGGAATGCTTCTTAGCCCTCCTCGCTTGGACATAGCTGATGATGATGTTGTTGGTGCTGATCAAGAAGATGATCAGAACCTATGGAAATTTAATTGAAATCCCATCTTAATTATATCAATATCCACAATGGAAAAAAAATAATGAAAATAAACCCAAAAAATAAAAGAATAAAAAGAAGACTAACCCTTGATGTATATGAAGGGGGGTCTCACATTCAAAACTTTGAAATTAGTATATGGCGTGTATATGCAGCATATATCTCGACTGCGAATATGATTGTGGTGTGTGTGTTTTTTATTAGACTTAATCTGCAGGATTTTCAATATTAGGAGTTGCTTTGTATTTCCATCATGTTCCTTCATCAGTTGCAGAATGTGCAATGGAAGGACCACGTGTTTGATAAAGTTTTTGAGCTAAGTGCTTGAATTGTTTGAATATCAGACAATGAAATGAATAATCTCATCCACCTTTGAATATTTGGCAAATATATAGAGATTTCTCACCTTAAAATGATCGTGTGTTTCTCTTTCTATCACTCTGCAGATACTTGAAATGGTTGCTTTCAGGGTTTCGCTTGTGCTTATGAACCGAAAACCTTAACTGCTGCCACCTACTAATCTATCAAGAAATCATGCAGAGCCTTCCACAAGTTTGAAGTTAAACATAGACAAAGCTTTACTGATAACTTTTCCAGAGAGCTTGAAGCAGATATGTAAAAGCCGCCATGAAATTGATCTGCAACAGATTTAAAATGGAAAGAAGATGATTCCAGAATTGCCCAGAAGCTACGACTTCAATCCATGGTCCAATTTTGTTCCCTCAGGTTTCAGAGCAAATAACCCTATTGTTTGGTTAAGAAAAGCAAACAAGTTTGGATTTATAGAATAGTGCTGTCTTTTCCAGATATTAGCTATGATTCTAAATGATCATGAGTAATCTCGTTTGGTAAAACTGTTTTATCAAAAAGAACATATATTACATGTAACTATTTATTTCATACAAAAAGTATATGGCGTATATAATCAATATATATTTTTTAAATTAGGGTTCTCTCAATCCACATTTTGTGTTAGGAACAGGTCCATAGTCGCCGGTTGCTGCTTTCAAATTGGTGTTTGTCTAGGTAGTGAGAGGGATATTGACATAAATATCCATTTACTAAACCCAAATTATGAAAATATTTATTAATCTAATCCAAGTTTGCTATTCAGCACCGTGTATTGTCAGAAGCATTTATAAATTAACAGTGATATATTGCTGATGAAGAAAGTTTATGGCCACCTTACCCTTAGTTGACGTGTCATTCTCAAGTTCTCAACTAGTTGAGCTGATCATACGTGGCACTCTTATAGTGGGAGAAGATACAAGGAATGTCAAAGATGGATGCTGACCCTTCACCTTCATTTGGTTGGAACCTACAAAGTCATGCAATCCTAGACCTTGCTAGTGTAGACTCTAGGCTTAGGCTGCATATCCAACAAAATCTGGTTCTTGTAAGTAAAGGTACGCACCAACCATATTGGTATTTGAGTGTTTGTGTTTATAAACCACGAATTTGAAACATGTAACCTTAATAAATAGTAGAATTATCTCCACATGCTATCCATGCGTTCTAAGTTACTATAAGTTATAGTAGTTTGAGATAAAAATAATGTAGTTGTGAGAGAGAAAAAGTTCACTTTGTCGTCCTTCAATTCAATTCTAGACTCATTATTCATAGGCTCTAATTGATAAAGTTTGTTTATACCATATCTGATTGGACCCTTTTAAATGGACACGTGGAACGAATGGCCCACAAAGCAAAAGCTCATATGGCCCAGTCCAGTTGCTGGAACTTATAACTACCATCGACAAGGGTTAACCTTTGGCAACTTCATTAGCCAATTCGGCACAACGAAGGCACTTGTCGTATCGAAACTCTAACCCAAGGTGTTCCACCTCTTTTGTCTATAAATAAGGCTCCTGCCCCAATGCACTAGGTAATGGTAATTGGCACTAGAATTCTTATTTTATTCAATTACTTATTTACTATATCATTTAGCTAACTAAAGTATCAGAAAGCCTTCGGCTAGTACCACTCCGGTGCCTAAGGCTTACCTTTGTTCTGCTTCCCCTTGCAGATCCTTTCCACACATGCCGTAGAGCCCACGCGATTACAAGTGAAGGCATATCCTTATAAGCTGTTTCCATTTTGGACATCAACAAAGTTAAAGAGTTATCTTACTATTAGTAATTTGTGTCTCTTAATATTAGTAATTTGTGGTCCAAACTCCTGAGCAAAAAAAATTTGTGGTCCAAAACACCAAGGCAAAACTTCATTAGTGGACAAGGTCAAGATAAGTGATAATTATGTATTAACCACTGGTTTAGGCACCAAAAAAAGTGCATAATTATCACCTTTCTTGACTGTGCTAGCTTAATTAATAAATTAATAAGATTATAATTTTCCCACCTAGAATACAATACCCACGATTTACAGACATAATTTGTTCTTCTGTTCAATGAACAAGAAGAGGTAGAAAGTAGCTGAAAAGAAATTAAAGAAAACGAAAAATAAATAATTGTGGTAAAAGAATTTCAAATGAAAATTCATAAAAAGTTGCCATTGTTCTAATAAATGCGGTATTACTCAGAGCGTCTAATCAATTTGAATTTTGATTGATGATTATAAGCTTAAATTCATTCAAATAATGATTATGATTAGCAATGTAATTAATCCTCATTAATGCTTGATTACTTGATTGATAAGTTACGATAATAAGAAGTTGGGCGATTACTTCAGCAGAGGCATTGTCCTTGTTTAACTTTGTGCGTCATAACAACAAGAGTAACAGATTTTCACTGTTTACTTGATTAATGATAATATTGGAATCTCTGAGCAAGACACAAAAGAAGAAGTATTTTCCAATGGGATGGAGGCCTTTGTCTAGCCACAGTTTCAAGCAAACAAACCAGGCAAATTTGGGAAATGAAAAGACTGGTTGGTACCATTTTAATTAGTTATTGATTGTTGTTTTTCCAACAATCTAAAGACAGTAAATGATGGATTCACATCATAAGTGATTGTGAATGTGAATGAGGTGACTACAGTGGCGAAGCCAAGATTTCATGTGTGTGGGGGGAGCCCTCTTACAAATTATAAAGAATCAAAAATTTGAACTCACAATACATACGAAAAATAGTATATATATCACATATATCAAGATTTATATTGCTTATTGGTTGCAATCATAATTGTCCTCGACAAAGGGATAGACAAATACATTCTGGGCAAGAAAAATGGCAAGAGATAGACAAAGAGTAGCGATTTAACAAATCTCTTTAAAGCTTTTCCCCCATCCCCCATTAAACCCAGTAGAAAGAAAAAATCAAAATTTCTCAAACTAAAAAAATCCTTAGGTCCCTTCATGCATTCATATCATACATGAAAAAAAATGTTTTATGTAAAAATATTGACTAAGTTTGAAAAATGGTTTTTCGGAATAATCATTTTCTCAAGATAATTTTTGGCAGCTTTTATTCCTTACACATCAAATAAGAAAACTTGATTTTATGGGATTTTAGTATGAAGTATATATTGACTTAATGACCCATCATTTTTAGCCTAAATCATATTTTGCACTAAAACCGATTTTTCATATTTTGATTTGGTGGGAATTTGATTTTCTAGTATTTTTATTTGAATCCAAATAGGGGGTACTTCCTTATTTGCATTGTAAACTTAAGTAAATAGAGTAATATGAAAATAAATGAAAGTAAAAGGATAAAGACAATTACTTAAATGCTGAAAATGGAAATAAAGTAATCTTTACACCTGGAGTGCACCACCACCAGTTGAGCAAAGAGGCAATTTGAAGCACCTCTTTGTGCCTTAATATTAATAGGTCCGCCACAACACATATGGGTACATATCAAAACCTAAAGTATTTGAAACAATATACATATAGAAATACACAACAGTATATTACTTTAAAAATATTTAAAAATTTGAGTGGGGGCCCGGGACCACATTGGTCCCAGTGTGGCTCCACCCCTGGGTGACTAAGAATCCTCATGACAAGAAGCCTCAGAAGTTCAAGGGAATTGACTTCAAGAGATGGCAACAAAAGATGTTGTTCTATCTTACAACCATGAATTTGGCACATGTTGTTAGAGAGGAGGCTCCCAAAACAAATGAAAATCCAATGTCTAAGGAGACAATGATGACCATTGAGGCTCGGAAACAATCTGATTTCCTGTGCGAAAACTACATCCGTAATAGGCTTGATGATACTCTGTATGACATTTATTCGTCATACAATTCTGCAAAGGAAGTTTGGGAATTACTTGAGAAAAATTACAAAACGGAAAAAGATGGGGCCAAAAAGTTCGTAATTGGAAAATTTCACAAGTATGCCATGGTTGATTCGAAGATTGTTATTAAACAGGTTGAGGAACTTCAAATTCCGATCCATGAATTGCTTACAAAGGGGTGTTTTATTAATGAACACTTCCAACTTGGAGCAATCATAGAAAAACTGACTCCATCATGGAAAGACTTCAAAATTTACTTGAAGCACAAGCGTAGAGAGATGTCTATGAAGGATTTGATTTTGAGGCTTCGAGTTGAGGAGGATCACAGGAAAGGTGACAAGGGTGAAGTTCCTGTCATGGAAGCCAAAGCTAATGTCATTGAGACATCAAAGCCAAAATTCCAGAAAAACAAAGGCAAGAAAGCTGCAAAGAATTATGCCAATCCTCATGCACCAAAAGGCAAGGATTTCAAGAAAATCAAAGGTGTTTACTGGGTATGTGGAAAGTCAAGGCATAAAGAACAAGATTGCCGCCACTGAAGAGACCAAAATCCAACCAATCCTCAAGTCAACGTGACTGAAGTTAATGAGGATTTTGTGGTTGTAGTGTCTGAAACCAATATGGTTTCTAATACTAAGGACTGGTGGATTGATACATGTGCTACTAGGCACATTTGTGGTAATAGAAATATGTTCACTAATTACAAACAAAATTCTGGTGGTGAGAAACTGTACATGGGAAATGCCTGTGCATCTGCAATTGAAGGCAAAGGCAGTCTGTTGCTAAAGTTCACTTCTGGGAAGGTTTTAACCTTTTTGGATATGCTGCATGTTCTTGAAATTAGAAAGAACTTAGTGTCTGGCCCTATTCTTAGTAAAAAGGGTTTCAAATTTGTATTTGAACCTTGCTGATGACTTGTTCAAACTCAATTTAACTGGCAATGATGCTTTTAATAACATAAATAAGGTTTTCATTTATTTTGTTGAGTCTTCAAATATTTGGCATGCTAGATTAGGTCATGTAAATTATCGATCTATGCATAGAATAATGCATCTAGGTTTATTGCCTAAATTTGATATGGACTTTAATAATAAGTGTGAGACTTGTACATAATCCAAGTTTGCTAGGCAAACCTTTAAATCTGTTCAAGGAAGGTCAAATGAATTACTTGGATTAATTCATAGTGACCTTTTGTGACTTCAAATCCATACCAACTCGTGGTGGGAAAAATTATTATATAACATTTATTGATGATTGCAGTAAGTATTGTTATGTATACTTAATACATAGCAAGGATGAAAGCCTTACAAATGTTTAAGATATACAAGGAAGAAGTTGAAAATCAACTTGATAGAAAAGTAAAAGTACTCAGATCAGATAGAGGTGGAGAATATGAGTCCATTGCATTTTCTGATTTTTGTACAACTCATGAAATTATACATCAAACCACTGCATCATATACACCGCAACAAAATGGTGTAGCAAAGAGGAAAAATAGAAATTTCAAGGATATGATAACTTCCATGTTGAATAGCTCAAGGCTTCCACACAATCTGTGGGGTGAAGCCTTACTTACTACAAACCACATATTGAATTCCACATAAGAAGACTAATCAATCTCCTTATAAAGTATGGAAAGGACGGATTCCTAGTTACAAGACACTGAAAGTGTGAGGTTGCCTAGCTAAAGTACAAGTACCCTTACCAAAGAGGGTAAAACTTGGACCTAAAACTATTGATTGTGTTTTCATAGGTTTTGCTAACACAAGTGCTGCATATAGATTTTTAGTTTATTAAATATGATATTTCTGATATACATGTTAACACAATTATAGAATATGTTGATGCTGATTTCTTTGAGGAAATTTTTCCTTACAAAGAAAAGAGTTCCAGTTCAAACAAAAGTAAAGTACATGATGGAAATCCTAATGAACCATCCTCTTCAAGTGTCCAAGAACAAGACTTGGAACCTAGAAGAGGAAAGAGGACTAAAACACCAAAAAAATTTGAACAAGATTTTGTAAGTTTCTTGACTGAAGAAGAACCACAAACTTATAAGGAAGCAATGGCTTCACCTGAGGAATCTTTATGGAAGGAAGTTGTTAATAGCGAAATAGAATCCATTATGCAAAACCATACATGGGAATTGGTTGATTTACCACCTGGTAACAAACCAATTGGATATAAATGGATTTTTAAAAGAAAGCTAAAAGTCGATGGTACTATTGATAAATACAAGGCACGTTTAGTTGCTAAAGGGTATCGGCAAAAAGAAAGGTTGGATTATTTTGACACTTATTCTTGAGTATCAAGAATTACATCTATAAGGATGTTAATTGCTATAGCTGCTATACACAATATGGACATAAATCAAATGGATGTAAAAACAGCTTTCTTAAATAGAGAATTAGATGAAGAAATATACATGAAACAACCAGAAGGTTTGGTGGTAAAAGGTCAAGAAAATAAAGTTTGTAAACTTGTTAAGTCTTCATATGGACTTAAACAAGCTCCAAAACAATGGCATCAAAAGTTTGATCATACAATGATGTCACACTGATCAATTATATCCATTGCGTCACCAAGTAAATCCGATATGTTTTCACTATGGTAAGTTCAAGTCCAAAAGACACTTTTCCTAATGCATATAACATATGCTTCCTCTCATATGCATTATATTCATTAAGCACTTTAAGTATATCTTTACAAATGTGGGGTCTTGAATTTTGATTCAAATGTGGCGTATTGTTGGAAGTTTGAATGAAATTCAAGGACTTTTGTCCCACATTGGTAGAAAGAAGAATAAAATGAGGTCTTTATAAGTGTGGTAGTCTCACACTTAATAAATGGAAGTTAGGCCAAGTAAAAGCCAAATGGGCTTAAAATTCGATTTGGGCATTAAATATTTAATTATAGAAAAGATGGGCCTTGGGATTTAATTAATTAATTTTTTAGTTTCGAATTAATAATTTTTTTCTTAATTTAGATTAGTTTTATTAACTAGTTTTTTTTTTAACAATTGTGACTCTTCTGATAGGGTTTCAGAAGTCTATTTAATACAGAAGAGGCCTCATTCGTTAAACACAGAGAAAGCATTCTACAAGCACATTCATATTGTCTAAGAGGAAAACAAACAAAGTTCGTCAGATTCTAAGTCCTAGTGCTAGGGCTTAGAATATAGATAGTTGAATCCTGGGAGGCAGTCACTTGTAGAACTTCAAGCATTGAGAATGGGTGAAATTACTGTCTTTAGGACATTGCATCAAATATGCAAGCCTCTATCTCGAATCCAAGTCAGTTTCATTTATTTATTGTTTACTGCATTTTAAATAAAATTTCGTTGGTAATATATATATAATCATTTTAATTAGTCACTTATTGTTGTTTTTACAACACCAAAGCATAGTGTTAACGTTGGTTTACTCTTTACTCATTTATAAATTAGATACCTATTCAATTATGACAGTTGTCTAAGATTCAAACCTCCATGGCATCTTAATAGTGTGTGCGTGTGAGAAACCCCTTCTCTTATAGTTTAGATTATCGATTGTATTAAAAAAAAAAAAAAAAAAAGAAAAGCAGAGCAAATTAAAATTCATAATGAATTTACGTATGAATAAATAATTTGGTTTCTTAAGTATTATCGATTCTACTTTACAAAGAATAGAGAGATACAGTTGAATAAAAAAAAAAAAGAATGAATAGGAATTGAATTTACATTATCGCTTATCTTCCTCCTTCACAACCCCTCCCAAATCATAAGTCCGTATCTTGAAGCGCTCAAGCTTGTGTAACAACTCCTCCACTGATCCTTGAAGGCCGTGCGTACATGTACCCTTCTGCGCAGCGGTTCGAGCTTTGGTTCCATCCATATTAAGTAATTGGTCTGCTATTTTTGCAGGTGCTTTTTCCCAAAGCTCTGATATGAACCCAAGTAAGCCATCAAGTGCTTGCCCTTCTACCTCGTTAACATGAACACCAGAAGCACCAGCGCTCATATGAAGCATTAAGAACTGTAAAGGCTCTGAGGACATTGAGCTCATCGTGTTGTTGCAGATGTTTAATTATTCGTTTTGGTCTTGTGGGTTGAGAAAATTGAGTTGAAAAATAGAAAGAGGGTGGTCTGATATTTTGTAGTTGGGGATTGAGAGAGAGAGAGAGACAGAGAGAGAGAGAGAGAGAGCAAATGGTTTTTAAGGGCAAGCATTTGCAGGCTCTACATATATATAGGGGACGTATGACTGGTGGAAGAAATCAAAACTACGGCTTTGAAGTTTGGAAAGCAGTCAACAGAAAGAATATGTTAGAGAACGAGTGGCCGAATAAATCTGAATTCAACTTTGAGAAGCAGTCAAATGTATTGTTAAACGAAATATAGCTTTAACTACAAAAATATTTTGTTGTCTTTTTTTTTTTTCTTTAAAAAAAATAATAATAATAAGAAGGTCGTCTAGGTTTTGTTTGAGCTTGGGTTTGGGTGGGTTATGACTCATATGAGGTAAGTCAGATTATGTTCTTCTTGTAAGATAAATAAAAATTAGAAGAAAAGGAAAAGCCGCCATCTTTTGTCCACTTTTCGAATCATGATATGCTAAACTATTATTACTAAATTTTTTTTCTTCCAAAAAACTATTATTACTAATTAGATAGCCTAACCCTGCTGTCAAAAAAGACGTGATCTATTATTAAAACCAAATTAAGGGCACAGCCTAGTTTGACATTTCCTAAATTTGGGTTAGTATTGACCTATATATTCAGTAACCAATTAAGTGTGGAAATCAAAGGCTCAGCCTTTTTATCTGTTAATTATGTTTTCACATCAACCAGCCCACCCAACCCCACCCCATCTAATCCTTCCCCACTCCAATCCCAACACCCATCTCATCGTGGGTCTGCAACAGAATGTTGTTGCCGTTGTTGCCAAGGTTTGCCCCCTGATTTGATGGGGTGTTCTTTACTGAATCAAATCAATCAAACTCTCTCTCTCTCTTTCTCTCTCTCTCTCTCCCCAACAACCCGAACAAACGCAGCCTCAGTCGCAACCCAGACCATGGGAGCCGGCTCATAACAGAAGGGCATCGTCCAGTGTTGTCACTTCTTAAACACCATCGCTGGAGCCGATTTCTCAACCTCCACGCCCTGATGATGATGTTGCAGAGGAGGAGGAAGGGACGTGGAGGGTGGGCTGTGGGGGAGGAGAAGATAGGACAAAAGCCCCGATTTAGGACTGTTTTACCCCTATATTTGACGGTAATATTAACATAATGTAACGGTAGGACCAAAGCCCCAATTAATAAAGAGTTAGTGTACCATTTGAACGAATAATTTAGTTGAGGACCAAAATACAACTCGGGTATAAGTTTGAGGACCATTTGAGTAAACAACCTTTTTTTCTTTCTCATCATTATTTTCAAATCATCGTGGTTCAAAGTAGCCTTTTTTTTTTTTTTGACCATGGGAGCCGGCTCATAACAGAAGGGCATCGTCCAGTGTTGTCACTTCTTAAACACCATCGCTGGAGCCGATTTCTCAACCTCCA